TATGTAGAGTGGGTGCCGGGCGTTTGGTTCAATGCCATCACTGACGATGGTTTCTGGCGCCACTGTCCCCAGCACTCTCTCCAGCCTCCCGAGCACTGAGTGTTGTGGACTAGGAAACAGCTCCCGGGGATCTCCTGCTCCCACTTCTTCCCCTACAGTCCTGCTCCGGTTCATCTCATGATGCTCAGAGAGACCTGCGAAGCAAGGCATCTTGACTCAGCCTCAAACTACCTTCAGTTTCTCCTGCTCCTGCCGTGACGGTCACCACCACCTCCACTTTCCAGCACATCCCCGGACTCCAGCCTTTGTGTGGCTGCTCACATCCCTCCTCCCACGAGAAGCAGTGGCTGCTCTCGAGGGGAATTGAACTCAGCCTTCCGGGGGATATGCTCCAAATACCACGATACCATGGATATCGACCAAACACAAAACAGCTTGGAGCAGGAGTGGCGTTTAAGGTCCTGTTAGTTGCTATACAGAGGAGGGAATCTGGACAGCACATATTTTCTGATTCTGTCACTTTGTGTGGCCGTGAAAAATCACCTAATGCCTCAGTTGCTCAGTGGCTTAGACTAGCGTCTCGTGATCTTCAAGGACCTTTCAAGCTCTACAGTTTGATTTTCTTCAACACACGTCAACTTTGACTTGCCGATTTAGCTCATTACCAACCATCCATCTCGCAATGCTGAGTTTTCCTCAAGAAGAAAAGGTTTCCTTTCACAGGCTAAAATGTTCCCAAACCTGTATTCATAGAATTATGCCACTTTTATAGATTTGTAGCCTTTCTAAATTCAAAGGCTTTTCTCAGAAATGGTACTTGTGAGCACCCCATATAAAGGAGAAGGGAAGGCGTGGGGACAGTGACAGGCAGAAATTCACCAAATCAGCTGTGGCTTAGAAGCAGGAGCACAGCCATATGGCCCTTCCACTTGGCATATGGCACCTGCATCCCTCCCTACATACGGCCCCTTTGGAGGCGATGCTTCATAAACCAAGAGCTCCAGAACTGACCAAGACAGGCCAATCTTATATTCTTTGCCCTAAATAACAAAAGTTGTTCATCTGGAAACACACAGAAGTATGTATGTTTGAAATAACTTCACGGAAGTACAGAACGGGAAGGATGCTTGTTTTCACAGAAAGGAAGAGCCAGCTGAGCCAGTTCCAAGCATGCCTTCCTCTAAGCGCCCAAAGCAAATTTTACAAATTCGGAGCATACTTCATGACACGGAAATCATTTACGTGTGGGTCCTTGTTTCCCATGGAGTTATAAAGCAACACTGAGTTAAGAGTGGGGCAGGTTTTCATTTCTGTATCCCCAGTTACTAGCACAATGCCTAGAACATACGAGGTTCTCAATAAATGTTGGTCGAATGAATTAAAAAGGGCCCTTAACGCTTGGAGATAGAGAATGCGCACAGGGCTCGTGAAACCCTGTTACCTGGGGAGCTACCGGGGCTGAGGGACGGTATGGAGGAGGAGACTTAGGAGGGGAAATTAAAAGTGATTAATTACCAACGTATCGATGCACTCGGCCTCTCCATTTTATGAAAATCTAACAACTTTTAGGAGGCTGTCCATCTCCTTTTAAATAAATACTGTTTGAAGCCTTGGGATTGACTCAATTTAATGTTATAAGAAAAAGTTATTAGACTCTCATAGTTATTGTAAGATGTTTTCCAGGGAAAATATTCAAATAGAACCTGATACCTTATTGACTCGGTTGAGGAAAAGATCAAAATGTGTTTTTCTCCATGAAGCAATCTTGACATTGAAGTTTCCTCAGCCAGTATTTCCCTTCTGGAAAGCATCAATTGCCCAGTCCAAGCCTTGAGTAGAAATTCGTTCCTGCCATGTGTTCCAAGCAGCTGAGGGTGCCTGGCCCTGCCCGGCAATGGGAAGCAGCTGCTCTCCTTCAACCTCTCACACAGGGAATTATTTGTACCTAAAGAGGATGGGGTTTAAATCATAACTGTCTTTTTCTCGTTAAAGCTAAAGTATACTTCACCAAAATATACCACAGTTATAGGGTAACCAACTGTCCCAGATTGCTCATAACTAAAGGGGTTCCTGGGACACACAACTTTCAGTTTCAGAATCAGGAAAATCCTGGGCAAACCAGGACACATTGGTGATCTATAGCACAGAGGCTTTTATACCAAATGGAAGAACCAAATTATGCCCCCTTTTAATGTGGCGACTAAACATTTTAGAAATAAGAAAATCTAACAAATTAAATAGAAAGTAACCGATACAACTAAAACCAGACATTTAAGAAAAGAGAAAAAGAAGGCCAAGGGATTATGAATGTTAAGTCTGTGACAGAGTTGCACTTAATCCACAACTAGAAGAAAGCATGTTCTGTTTCCAAGGAGCTGTTCTGCGAGCACTTGATCAGACGTCTTACTTCCACAGCCCTGTGATACTCAGATATGTAATGTTACCAATTAGAATCAACACTTACACTGACTCGGAAGTTCTAGAGTTGCTATTACTTAAAAAACATACTTTTAGACCAAAAAGAAGCTTCGTACCGTGGCTCGGGTAAAACGCCAACAATGCTGAGAGCTTCCTGCCCCTTTGGCTTGGTGGTTATCACAGCAACAAAAACAGTGACATTTTGAAAGCAAAAGTTTATTTTAAATTGTACATATTTTTAAAAGCACTACAGTAAGATGTCCACATATCTGTCTTATATATCAGTTATCTCTCTGCCCATCACTGCACCTGCCCACCTGTTAAGCTGCCCTGTAAACCTCAACAAGCAGGAGGGGAACTGCCATTTAAAAGTTACGTTTTCTGTCTGTAGAGATAAAGATCTCATCTCACCTTTAAGACAGACTGTGGCTTTGCTTGGGAAAAATTACCATCGTGGACACTTTAATCACATCAGAGGTAAGATAGGTACTGCTTTGTATTTTGGGGAAGGAGGGCAGATAAACTGTTGTCATTTAAGCCAAATATAAATGATTTTAGATTGACACATTTTTCTAGTCTGTTCAGTAATGCAAACTGTGCATGGATGAAACAGGGCAAGCTTAGCCCCAGACTTTTCTGCCCCCCTATTTTTTGCAAGGGGCATATGAGAGATGAGAAAGAAATCTATCCCAGCCTTGTGTGATCATGCTGCAATGGCTTGAGCCTCTTCCCAGCAGTTGTCCATGTTAGTTGTTGTTTCCGGGGTCTGGAGTTGAGGCCCCATGCAGAAAGGGCACACAGGTATGCAGAGAAGGTGAAAAGCACAGGTCAGACTGGGCGCAGTGCTCACATCTGTAATCCCAGCACTTTGGGAGGCCAAGGGGGGTGGATTGCCTGAGCTCAGGAGTTTGAGAGCAGCCTGGGCAACATAGTGAAACCCTGTCTCTACTAAAAATATAAAAAATTAGCAGGGAGTGTTGGCATGCTCCTGTAATCCCAGCTACTGGGGAGACTGAGGCACGAGAATCACTTGAACCCAGGAGGCAGAGGTTGCAGTGAACCAAGACCGTACCACTTCACTCCAGCCTGGGGGACAGAGTGAGACTCTGTCTTAAAAAAAAAATGCACAGGTCAACCTTCACTTGAAGGCCAATGGTCAATGGTATTCTCATGAGTAAACATGATATCCTGGTACCAGGTTGTTGCTTCAGATGAGATTGTCTCATCTGGGCAAGGACAGCTCCTCGCCTGCAGGCCAAGTGGTGTTTGGTCAAAACAAAACAAAACAAAAAAACCCAGCAAGTTCTCTGTTGTAAAGAATAGAGAAAATGATTCTGGGTCCATCATCTAGCCTGAGGAGCCCTCGATATGTGATGATTTTCTCAGAATTCACAGGGTTTTCTTGATGAATAACTAATCAAAAGAATGATAAATATTAACACATGAAACCCAACGGAGAGTTTATAATGACAGTGTTATATCATGTCATACGAAACGGACTTCCCCTCTCATGGTAAGTGAAATTTCTCATGGGACATTCCATTCTCTCAGGAAAACCCCTGCTCCCTGTAGCCCCCTACCCAGACATTTTTTAGTGTCTTCAGACCCACTTCAATTTCAGTTTTGCATGAAAGAGTGAATAACGAACACAAACAAAAGCAGGGCAAAGCTCTGCACTGGGGAAGAGCTCAACAGTGACACACGGCAGGCAGGCAGAAGCATCTCTGCAGAGGGCCACCCTAGCCCAGTCGCTTCTTTGAGCTGGGGCTTCCCTTGCTGTCCTCCCTTCTGTCTTCACTTCTGGACTGCCCCCTGGTCCCTGCAGGAGTTTGAAGAAGCAGAAGTGTGCCTCAGAGAGGGTGGCTGGCGGTGCAGGTGCAGCAGGCGCAGATGGTTAGGACTCTCTGTGCAGACACCTCTGGTCCCTTTCCTGCTGTCCACGAGACTGCAGTCCACATGATCATTTTGAACAGGATTTTAAGAGAGTTGGAGACCTCAGAAAGAGTACCACATCCAAGGCAAATGGTAAGACCTTCCGGCCATGTCTCCTTTTGCCCAGGTGAGTTAGGCTGAGAAAGCCCGAGCTCTGCCTCACAGGAGTCCTGCCAGACACTGATGAAAATGATGATTATTCTCCTGAGATTAAAAACGCATTCGTGGTTCAGCTTTTGTTAATTGTTTTGGACTGGAGTCATTAACCATAAAATGTTGTTTTTGTTTTGTTTCGTTTTTAAACCATGGAAAGTTTTAAGGGCCTAGTTTGTTGTCCCAGGTAGAGCTTCCTTTGTAGAGACAGAGAAGTACATGGGCCAAGTCAGACCATTCCACACATGGAAAATCAATGTAAGCAACTTCCATCATGGCCATGCGTAAGTCAGGCATGGTTTCTTAACCAAAGATCAAAGAACAACATATGCCAAGAGGCAGAACCACAGAGAGTATTGTGCTCTGCCAAGTACGGCTGTGGCTGCAGACCAAGGGGTGGAGTACAGCAATACGTGGAAGCATTGTGTGCGAGGGCTCCCTCCTCTCTCTTCCCTTCTCATCTTCTCTCTCCTCTCTCTTCCCTTCTCATCTTCTCTCTCTCTCTCTTCTCTCTCTCGTCTCATCTTCTCTCTCCTCTCTTTTCTCTTCTCTTCTCTCTCTCTCTCTGTTGAGTGTGCCCTATGTCTGTTTCAGAAACAAAAGACAACAGGATTCTGGTTTCTCCTAGAGAGCCGTCTCACATGGAAACTACATTGCTCAAGAAAAGGAAACATGAGGAGATGGCAGCATTGATGGAGTCTCATCAAAGGATGAATTATTTGTGATCCTTATGCCTGGACAAATTCAACGGCCTCCCAGATGTGTTTCTTTCCTAAATGGACAAACGTCTACATGGTTCCCCTCACACTAGGAACTATTTTAGATGCTGGACACTAAGATTGATTAACAACTGGTCCCTGCCCTCAAGCAGCTACCATTTGGGGGAAAACAATAGTTGTCCTGAGAATACACAGGCATACATGTTCTGACCTGCAGGCTAATAATAATGTGACCTCCAAGTTTTAGGAACCAGGGCTCTGTCTTATTTCCCCTTTGCTTGACACTGTTTTATAATCTGCCTGATAACTTCATTCCTGCAAGCCTCTGCCAATCCTCCCAGGAACTCTGCCCACAGACTTTTGTTGACTCCCAACTAAATGCCTGACAACATTTTCCCTTTACCTCTCCCAGATTCTCTGCCCTCCTGCTCACTTACCTGGACATCCATTCCTTTTGCTGCTCTTCCCTGACCCCACACTCTCCAGATATCTGTGCTGAGATCTGAGCCCCCCAAATCTCTTAAGTGAAAGGAGAAAACCATGTTCGTAATCAGAAGACTGCTTGGAAGACTGGAAATTGTGACCTTTGAAGAGCTGTGGTCGTACACCACAGGGGCCCATCCTCATGGTCAGGCTGCTCTGCATGGCCCTGAGAACTCAGGTATTCAACTGGGCCACCTCTGTCTGGACAGTGCTGGAGAAACAGAGAAAATGTTTTGTGCTTTTGCTTCCATAATTCCAGGTTCCACCTTTTTTCTTCTTTCTACAATTCATCAGATTCTAGCTTTCTTTTACTTTTAGTCATGCTTTGGCTAGATTAGCTCCTCATTTTAGCTTCTTGTTCTGAATTTGTTAATAATGAACAATTGTGGCTTAAGAATTCTGCAGAGGCCGGGTGCGCTGGCTCAAGCCTGTAATCCTAGCACTTTGGGAGGCAGGCCGAGACGGGCGGATCCCAAGGTCAGGAGATCGAGACCATCCTGGTTAACATGGTGAAACCCCATCTCTACTAAAAAATACAAAAACTAGCCGGGCGAGGTGGCGGGCGCCTGTAGTCCCAGCTACTCAGGAGGCTGAGGCAGGAGAATGGCGGGAACCCGGGAGGCGGAGCTTGTAGTGAGCTGAGATCTGGCCACTGCACTCCAGCCTGGGCGACAGAGCGAGACTCCGTCTCAAAAAAAATAAAAAAAATAAGAATTCTGCAGAGAACTAACATGATCTATTAGTGTAGATTTAGCGGGTTATTGAAGAGAGGGGGTTGGAGACATTTCTGACTGTCATGACTGAGAGGGTGCTACTAGAATGCAATGAGCAGAAGTCAGGGATGCTTCTGAATATTCTGCAGTGCACAGGACAGCCTTCTAGAACAAAAATTTATCCAGCCTCAAAAGTCAGTTTTGCTGAAGTTGAGAAAAAATCGGTATGAATTTGTCATTCATGGTCAAGTACTGTTGGGTAGAGGTTAATCTCAATGCTCTGAAATTATCACTAACACCTACAATGATTTGGCTAACTCTAATGGTTGAGCTTCTGTTTGTGGGCTTTTATACACCGCCACCTTAAAGTTTAAGGTTACTGCTCACTAAACACACCATTAACCAGTTATCCTTAACCACGTGTAAGTACGGACTCAGCTGTCCTACGCACTTTGTAGACCATTCCTCATTGTGCACACATGAAGGCTTTACCTGTTTTGGAGTTGTTGCCAAAATTTGTGATGTTGATAGTACTGAGAGGAAGAAAATAACAAGAAGAAAAGTGGAAGTAAAAATCTTACGTAGTGTGAAAATCCACTGGGCTTGTGATGCCTTAAAATTTTTATGAGTGAGATAAAGCACAAATGAATAAAGATTCTACTTTGGATGTGAAAAATGTCAGCTTTGTTGAAGAGTTTCCTCTCTTCCTTTCTTTCCATAATCAAGAGCTAGAGAGTAAAAGTTATAGAACTACAAGACGTGAACATCGGGAATTATTATTATAATAAAGAGAGGTGTTCCAGGGTTAGGGTGGAGGAGAGTACAGGGAGTCTCTTGTGGGAAACTCCCGAACCCCACAAAATCAGTAACTTTTTTTTTTTTTGAGATGGAGTCTTGCTCTGTTGCCCACACAGAAGTGCAGTGGCACAGTCTTGGCTCACTGCAGCCTCTGCCTCCTGGGTTCCAGCAATACTCCTGCCTCAGCCTCCTGAGTAGCTGGGATTACAGGCACACCCCACCAAGCCTGGCTAATTTTTGTATTTTTAGTAGAGACAGGATTTTGCCATGTTGGCTAGGCTGGTCGAGAACTGCTGACCTTAGGTGATCCACCCACCTCGGCCTCCCAAAGTGCTGGGATTGCAGGTGTGAGCCACCATGCCCAGCCAAAACCAATACATTTTTTAAAAAAAATCTTCCTTGTCTGACTTCTGGTGTTAACAGTCTCCTCTTTTCTCATTTAACCAAAAAGAAAAATTTGAGATTTTGATAGCAACTCTGGGCATGTGGACCTTCTAGGACCATACTGAATGCTGATTTTGACTGTAAGGAGGAAGCCATGGCAGGTTCTGAGTTTAGGGGGAATTGCTAAGCACATGGTCCAAGCTGGAGAAATATATCTATAAGAAGAGTATGAATAAGAGAAGAAATATTCCAAGCGGATGACAGAAGAAAAAAATCGGTATGAATTTGTCATTCATGGTCAAGTACCAGTTTATGAACTGGTTGTGTTCTTAAACATTCATCTGACTGTTGGATGAACAGCCCAAGGAGGGCAGAGGGCTGCAGAAGTAATTCATTGGTTGCTGGATAGAAGCTTCAAAAATTCACAGTTTAATGGTCTTGTTTTAAAGAGAGAGAGAGGAAATAAAAAAAAGCTAGATCAGAAAAGTTGATCATCTTGCTCAAGACCTCCTTAAGAATTAGAAATAGAGGCTGATTACGGGATTCCCCAGGCAGTCCACTAACTATTCTGTGTTGTCTCTAAGCAGGAAAGCGGTAAAAAGTTACTTAATGGCAGTGTGTGGCAGAGGGGAAAGCAGGCTGTCCAGGTGACTGAGAAGCAGGCGGGAGAAGAGGAAGTGAAGGCAGTGAAGAAGGAACACGCTCCCAAAACAAGAGGCAGAAAGGGCACTCTGGGTCTGGTCCCATCCTACCCACAGAAAACATGCAAGCCCATACTGAGTGAGGGCTTTCTACACGGAGGGTTTTGATACCATTTCTTGCCCAGAAGATATGGTGTACAAGGACAGAAATGGCGACAGATGGAGTCTACAAGCTCTTTCCAAACGTTCACATTCCTCAGAACTTCACCTGTTTTCTCAGCCACAAGAAATTATTAATTTATTTCACAGATATTTACAAAATCACTATTTTGTGCTAGATTCTGTCCCAGGCCACATGGCTGTAGTATTGAATAAGACAACTTTTTTTTTTTTTTTTTTTTTTAATCTGAGAGTCGCTGGCTAGTGAGACAGATAAAAACAAAGCTAATACATATATTTTCCGATCAATAATACTGAGTAATATGATAGTGACTGGAGGACCCACCTGGAACTGGGTGGTTAGGAAAAGCCTCTTAGGAGAGATGGCATTTGGGCCGATACCTCAGAGATAAGAGGCAGCTATGCAGAGACCTGGGGATCCAGGTGTCTGGATAGTGAGCACAGCCCAGCAAGCCTGACAGGTTCAAGGAACACACAGGAGACCAGCATGTCTGTAACTCGCTCGGCAAGAAGATAAAATGAGGTCAGCAGGAGTGAGCCAGGGCACATCAGACTGATGCATGTACTCATTCAGCAAATATTTATTAAGCACCTACTATGTTCAGGACATTGTTGAGGATACATACATTAAAAAGAAAAAATACCGGCTCAAGGATTCTGTCCCCGGAGAGAAACTTAGAATTTACGAACGTTGACAGAATGCCCAGAACAATTCTGCTACAGGTTAGAAATTGATCCGTTCCAGACAGAAGCACGATGCAGACATTCAGGGGCACACATCGTCCAAGGCCGTGGGGTCTGCGGTCAGAGATCCAGCCATCTGCTCCCCCAGCGTAGGGAGGTCAGGCCTCCCGGGGGTGAGTCACGTAGCCCACCTCTCCCCACCCGTGAGCCTTCTCGGTCTCGGTGCACCGGGCAGGGCCGCAGGAAATCCCCCGGCCTAAATCTGTCGCCCTCAGAAAACCCAGGCAGGGGAGCCCCCAGAGACCAGGCCTCTGGTTAGCACCTGATTCACGGAGGCAGCCAAGGCAGGGTAGCGACTGCTGGTAACCGGCCCCCGGAGTCGCCCCGGGGGAAAAGGCCAAGGGGCTCTGGGCACCCCCGACCTTGGAGCCGGCTCGAGACCAGCGCGGCCGCCGGGTCAGGGCAGCGCCTGCGCGTCCGCCAGGCCCCGCCCCCGGTCTCGGGCGCCCCGCGGGCGGCTCGGGCCGCGCACGCGCCGTGGGCTTGGGGCCGCCCGAGAGCCCGAGCCCGAGCCTCCCCCGCCCGGCGGCCGCGAGCCGAGGTCCGCGAAGGCGGAGCGGGAGCCCGACTACAAGTCCCAGGGTGCGGGCGGGCGGACCGAGGAGGGACGCTGGGCCTGCCCGCCGGTGCGCACGGGGCGGGGACCGGCCAGGCGGGACCACTGCCCGGCACAGGCTCCGGGGCCCCTGCGCTGCTCCCGCCGGGAAGTTCCAGGCCGCGGACGGAAAGCCCAGCCTTCCGCGCCGGCCTCGGGAGCGCGCCGGGTGGCCCGGCCGGTCCCCGCCGCCGACTTGTCGACACTGCGCGCACTCAGTCCCGCCCGCGCCTCCTCCCCGCCCGCCGCCGCCGCTCCTCCCCGTAGCATGCCATAGTGAGCCGCGAGCACACGGCCAGGGGCGCTAGGGTTCGCCTTCAGCCACCATGGGGAATGGGATGAACAAGGTAACGTCTCCCCGCGTTCGCGCTGGGTGTGCTCCGCGCTGCAGCCTCCTCTGCGGCGGGTGCCGGCCCCCCCGTCCTGGCTGCCCGGCGACTGGAGCCCGGGGCGCCCCTGCCCGCGGAGGGACGGGCGCGGAGGGAGGGGCGGCGCGCCGGGGCGGCGACTGCGGATCGGGGTTCGGAGGGTGCCCGCCCCCGCCCTCCCGGCTTCCGGGTGGGCAGCCCGGGCCGCCGCCTTCGCAGCCGGTGCGTGTCTGAGGCTGGAGCGAGCCGCGCGCTTCGAGAGCCTGGACACGTTCCGCCGGGAGATCAGCTGAATGGATGTGGTTTCTTTTTTCCCCTCCTCTTCGCTCCCGAACTGCGCCCTGGAAGCGTCACCCCCCACACATCGTTAGTGAACGGGCGTCCGCTGTCATTTCCTCTTTCCCCTCAGAGTCTGCGGCCGCCCGTGGGCGCAGATAGTTTTTCTGTGGACAGAGAAGTTAGCGGAGTCCTCAGCCCTGAGCTGTTTCTAGATAAGTGGGAAGCGGAGGAAAGGTTCGGAGCGCGTTAGCTTGTGTGACGCTGCGACGAGGGCAACCTGTTGCTGGGGGCTTGACCCACGGGGCCTTCTAGAAAGTCTGCGCTGCTCCCTTTGTCCCGCCAGTGTCTGGGCCGCACGCCGGGGTCGCTGTGTCCCGCACCTCCCTTCCCAGCCCGTGGGATCCCTTTCCTGTCCACGGAAGTTGCCAGATGCCGGCTCCGGCGGCTGGGAGTTGCCGGGGTGTGTGCGTGTGAACCACAAGGTTAAGGATTTTGTTACTTGGTGCTGGGCTGGTTTCAAGGAAGGAGTCACCAGACTTTACAGAGCCCACAACACAGACAGTAGCTTTTTGCAGGTCTTTGAATGGTCCTGGATTGGATGAGTCGTCTTTCTGCTTCACTTTGTCTTTGCGCTCCGCCCACCCGCAGCTCTGCACGCTGTCGGCTTCCACACTGCGTGGGGATGGCAGTGCGGCTGTGTTTTCTTCCGTGTCCCTCAACACGGGGTCGGCAGTGGTTTGGGAGTTCGGGCTGGAGTGTTGCAAATGCGGATTCCCGGTAGGGAAGGGGAGATGCAGTGGGGAGTCAGTCCAGGGAAAACCTAACCTTTCCCGTGCCCATGTCATGTTTATTGTGTCCTGGTTACTCAGTTTGTGAAAGAACTATTGTGTGTTTGGGGCCTGCATACCAATACTGAGGTATTTTGGTAAACAGAATTGTATTCACTTTTTTTTTTTTTTTTTTTTTTTGGCGAGTGATCAAGTTTGGAAACAGACTGTCTCTCTCGGCTAAATACTTGTATTATATTCCCATGAGCACTGGAATCCATCGCACCGCGAGCCTTCTGCTTTTTAAATTAAAACAACAATAAAGATGGTCATCGTAAGTTTGTGGGCTCCGTTTGCCTTGCCATTGATGACGGCGGTATCTCAGCTTTCCTTTGGTTATTTCTACAGTTTTTCCCACTTGAGCTGTTCACTCTCCACCGTTTTCAGCATTAAACTTACAGTATTTGTGTAATACAATTCAAAAAATATATTTAGGAATACAGATGGTTGCCTAAGGGATCAACGTTATTTTCATGCTTTTCTACAAAAGCAGTAATATTCGTACACTTTTTACCTTTCAAAATGGGTAATAAATTGCTTGACTTTTAGTATCTTGTGAATAGAGACTCACAGTGTATAAATGAAGAAATATATGTATAGAGAGATTTAGAGACTTCTCTGCTTCAACGCTTGTTTATTATGTACATACTATAAGCCAGGTGTTGTGCTAGTGGGTGGGGAGGCAGGAAAAGGGAGTGCGGTGGTAAATGACCCAAAAATCCTTCACAGAACCTTCAGTATAGATCAACGCTTGTCCAGCACTAATATGATGCGAGCCATGTATATAACTTAAAATGTTCCAGGAGCCACATTAAAAAATAAACTGGTGAAATTAATTTTAATAATATATTTTATCTAACAATGTATTAAAACTATTGTTTCAACATGTAACTAATATATAAAATTATTCATGGAAGTTTTCATGTTTTTTACTATGTCTTTGTGAAAGGAAAAATCTCGGGATCCCCAGATCACTTATATATTCAAAGCATAGCATGTATTTTATACCTAAATCACGTCTCATTTTGGACTAGCCACATTTGAAGTACTCAATAGTCACTGTGGCTGATGGCTGCTGTGTTGCACAACACAGGGTGTGTATGTGTGTGGGAGTGAGAGAGAGAGAGAGAGAGAGAGAGAGAGAGAGAACACAAGGTGGGGAGGAGTAGAGGCTCCAGAGGATAACAGGCAATTTCAGAAAAGTGGGGAAAGCAGAAGATGGGATGAAAGTGACCTAGAAGGGGCATTCAGCCCAGGCAAGGAATCCTGCTGCAGTAAACATGTTTACGTGAGATCAGGAGGAACTACCCCAAATCACAAGGTTAGTTCGTGGCAAAGTAGATTGCTGGAGGCCAGTGAGTTAAGAACCTTAACCAGAACTTTTCCACATATTACCGTGTGACTTGGAACGAGGCTTCGTATTTTTCCCATCTGTAAAAAAAAAAGAATGTTGATTTGCAGAATCAGTGGAAGGTGCTACCCCTAGAAATCCTTTTCTAAGAACATTTATAAATATGTGCAATGCCTCGGAAACTAACGTAACTTGGAATGTGCGTGCCCTGAGGTTACTGGGACAAGATTTCCTTCCAATCTCATACGCATTGGTCATTTTTGGCAAAAGAACATTTCTGGTCTAAACAGTGCAGGCTCCATTCTGACTGCTTTGGGAGAGCAGTTTCTATTATTTCACATCCCCATGATGGCTCTTCTTGTCAGTACATTCCGGTCTCCTGTATGGCAAAATACTGTGCCAATTCCCATTAGGTATACACAGCAGATTATCAGAAGATGGACGGGAAAAAGCTTTTGTATTCTAGAAAATTAAAGATCAGGAAATGAAGGCAGGACCGGGTGCGGTGGCTCGTGCCTGTAATCACAGCACTTTGGGAGGCTGAGGCAGGTGGACTGCTTGAGTCCAGGAGTTTAAGACCAGCCTGGGCAACATGGCGAAACCCTGTTTCTATCGAAAATACAAACAAGCAAACAAACAAAATCAGCTGAGTGTGTGATGGCTTGCATCTGTAGTCCCAGCTGCTTGGGAGGCTGAGGTGGGAGAATCACCTGAGCCCGGGAAGTCTAGGCTGGAGCGAGTCGTGATTGTACCACAGCACCCCAGCCCGGAGCAGCAGAGGGAGACCCTGTTTCAAAAAAAAAAAAAAAAAAGCAACACCATTGTGAACCATTTGTTTTTTTAACACTTTATAAAATCTCAGCCTCACAATAGCCCTATAAGGTCAAACGACCTTATATTTGCCCAGATTGGGGAATGGAGATTTGGAGAGGTTAGGTAAGATAAGGTCCAGTGCTAGGCAGGGCGAAACTGGGTTTGGACCCCAGTCTCTACTGATTTTGAGGATAGGAAAAGTCTGTCCTTTGAGCTGGGTGCCAATTCATCCCAAGTCAGTTTTAAAATTCCTAAAAAGTAATTTGAAAAGCTCCTCATAGCTTCGATTACTTGTCAAATAGCCAAAATCACCTCTCTTCCTTCATGTTTGACATTGATAAGGAAGGGGGTAAAAGGCAGCAAAACCAAAACTATTTTTTTATTGTTTCTGTTTGTTTGTGTGCAATTCCTAGGCAGATGCCCCACGCTGGCCAAAATTATAATCGCCAGTGAGTTTATGGTGTGTTTTGAGTACGTTACCACGTAGAGTAAGCCACAACGCCATGAAGCAGGTCCTGTTATTTCCGTGCCTGTTTTCTCGATGTACACAGAGGTTAGGGAACTGCCAGGGTCACCCAGCTGGTGGGTAGCAGAGCCGGGACTCGAAGCCACAGTGGCTCAGCCACAATGCAGAGTGCCTCTAAGATACTCGTCTGCTGAGGTGTTCGTCTAGTAAATGTCTCTGGTAATTAGGGTTAAAGTGAGCAGGGTGTTGCATGCAAATGTCGTGTTCCTGTGGAGCCTTTGAAAACTCCTAGTTGACTCAAAGTTCTCTCGAGTCTGAACCCTCAAATCTTTTGGGGGAGAGCCTGTAAACAAAACTCCTGTCCTCACTGTCTACTTATTAGTCTTCAGTACTACAATACCCCATCAAAAACAAAACAGCGACTGGTCTCCAGCCAAACATTATGTCAGAGATACCCCATCAGAAACAAAACAGCGACTGGTCTCTAGCCAAACATTATGTCAGAGACGGCTGCCCGAAATGCTTCTCATGTGCCAGCAGTCTTTATCTTGATCAGCCTCAAAGTGGGCTGAAGCCTCGCGTTCTAGGGCAGGATATGAGGACCCTCTGGTTGGCATCTTGCCCTCCACTGACTGCCAGGGTTCCTTCAGCTCATCAAGCATCCGGCCTGCCTGCTCTTGTGGCCTCTTCCTTCCTCCCTGCT